TTTAGCTCGGCTGGAAAGGCTAAAGAGTTTTAGCTCGGCTGGGAAGGCTAAATAGTCTTAGCACGGCTGTAAAGGCTTAAAAGTTTAGCTCGGTTGTAAGACTAAAATCTTCAGCTTGGCTGGTAAAACAAGTAAATCCCTATCATGCTGCGCAGATGGAATTAAGGGGCAATTGAGAGGGTAATTTATACCTAAATTGGGCCGAGATGGGTAAATGGGCCGAGCTGGGTAAATGGGCCGAGTTGGGTAAATGGGTCGTTCTTTGGGCCACAGTAAGAAGGGTAGGATGAAAGGGGGCTTGTAGTTAGCCCGGTCCTGGTAAGCCTTATTGTTATCCCGGTCCGAAAGAACCGTGAAGTTAGTCCGGTCTAGAGAAGCTTTGCATATAGCCCGGTCACCGTACTCAAAGTTAGCCCAGTCATGGCTTATCGTGGTTATCTCGGTCAGAACCTTGCTGTTTGTTAGCTCGGTCTGATCACATCATGGTTTGTACATAAGAAACCGAGGTAAGAGCAGTGAAAGGAAGAACCAAACTAGCTATAGTTCGGTCTAATCTGCGGCTTAGCATAGCCATGCTTACCTCGGTCATATTGGAATCCGACCATGGTAAAACCATCTCACTTGGTTTAAGTAGTGAGGGGGGTGTTGAAGGATAAGCATTGTCTTTCTAGAGTATGACTCCTAGGAGGACTCTACATGGATGAGTAAAAGTCCTACTAGGATTGTGCCACACAAAACCTATAAAAGCTCATAACATCATATATGGAGAGGTAACATAACTTTGATTCTCGAATACATAGAGCTTTTGTCTATTTTGTTGACTTAGGCATCGGAGAGGTATCCGGCACACACCCGCCGACTAGCTCACGTTTGTGTTTTCAGGAAGTAAAACAACGACGTACGGAGGAGCGCAAACTTGATCAAAAAGATTATACGAGAAGGTTTATTTCTTTCCCGTACACCTTTCAAACCCCACCTCATCCTAGCCCTTGCTTGTCAGTGGCAGCACTTTACCAACTTTAGTCTGGAGAAAACATCCTTAATCACTTGCCACATTAGTTGGAAACCATTTGACCCAGGCATGCTAAAGCTCAACACTGATGGGGCTGCAAAAGGAAACCCAGGCCCAACCAGTTATGGGGGAATTCTTAGAGACCACCTTGGTAGATGCGTTGCTGGCTTCACCAGAAATATAGGCATTGCTACAAGCATCTATGCTAAATTATGGGGCTTAAAAGACGGCCTTAACTTTTGCCTAGAAAATGGTTTCAGAAATTTAATAGTTGAAACGAATGCTCTTCTTGCTATACAACTCATCTTTGGAGATCACAATGACTCTCATCATCACCTCAGTAATCTCATATGTGATTGGAGGTACCTACTGAACCAACTGGGGTTGCACTCAATTGAGCATATTTTTCATGAAGTTAATAAATGTGCCGATACTCTAGCTAATTTTGGTTTACAATCATCAAATGGTTTGCACATTTTACACCAATTTGCTCCCAAATGTATGATGATGCTAGAGGGATTACTTATCCCTGAACTTTGTACTATTCTCTTTAATCTATATTAGTTCTACTTTATCAATATATAAATAAATAAATAAAAATTAAAAATTAAAAAAAAAACTGGAAATTTTTTTAAGGAATGGAATAATCTGTCTGCAATCATCTCCAAGGAGTGTACTAGAGGACTACTTTCCTTCAAGTTTATACAAGGACACTAATGTTTTGAATGGCTGGCTACATGATGAAAGAGAACCAAACTCAGCTGTGTATGTGAACTATGGAAGTGACTGTAATTAATAGCAGACCAACACGTGAAGGAATTTGCATAGGGCTGGCAAATAGTAAGCACCCATTTCTCTTATTTTTATTATTATTTTATTTCAGAAGACAATTTATAAATATTATGAGAATTTCATCAAATTATAAAAACCACAAAATCAGTCATGTCTATGGAGAGTTGATAAAAGACCTTAACAATTGAGATAGAAATATAATGAATTGGATGTTGTAATAAGTGATTTGGCAACCTTGCCTGAAGAATTTATTGAGGACAATAAAGATAGCGGATTGTTAGCAAGTTGGTGGCCACAAGAAGTATATTCCCCCCATAAATGTGGTGTTTCTTTTCTTTTTTTTTTTTGGGAGGGTTATGTGTAAGTCCTATTAAGTTGACTTATTATCCAATAAATTTTATGAGAATTAATGGCATTTTTAATTAAATACTGTTAAAAAAATGTCACTAATTGTTAATTTTCAGTAATAGTTTAAAAATTGTCATAAAAAATATCAGTAATTATAAGTTTTAGTGACAGTTTAGAAAAATCGTTATAAAAAAGTCATCAATTTTCAACTTTTAATGATAGTTTGAAAAAGTCGTTACAAAAAAAAAAAGGTCACCAATTGTAAATTTTAGCGACAATTTATAAAAATCGTAACAAAAAAAGTCATTAATTATCAATTTTTAATGACATGCAAACAATTGTCACAAAAAAATATTTCTAGCGATGACTTTATTAAAACTTATTTTCAATAGGACTTTAATGAGAATTAAGTCAAACTATTAGGATTTATTAATAATTTATCCTATTTTTTTCCTTTCCTAACACATTGTGATTCAAAATTTTCATTGAAAACTATTATATATACATATACATACAAATATTGTGCAAAATAAAATCTTTAATGAAATTAACTATGACTAATTTAATTTATCAGAATTTATGCACCTTACTAGAAGGTCAATGTTTAATTTCTTAGAATTTGAAATTATCTGATTATTGTGGGCAGAGATTAGAAACAAGTGAGAACGGGGGAAAACTCATTACATGTTACGTAACCCTCAATATGAATAGGTAGTTACGGTCCTTACAATGGGGGGTGGTGGCGCAGTTGGCTAGCGCGTAGGTCTCATAGCTTATTTTCTCTGAGTAATCCTGAGGTCGAGAGTTCGAGCCTCTCTCACCCCAAATGATGCTTTTTATGGAACTTTTCATGTCTAATGTAATTACTTTTTTTTTTGGGGTCATCCATGAAATTGTATTTATTTTGTGCAGATCCCTTTTTTGTTTTTTGTAATTGTTCTGGGGAAAATTTACTTTGCCTGCTTAAACTATAAGACTTGTGTCACTTTTCCCCTGAATTACCAATTTGGACAATTATCTTCTTAAATTATTTATATTAATTCATTTTATCTTAAATTGTCAATTGATTTATAGTTCATGTTAGCTCAAATTGTCAATTGATTTAATATTTTGAATGAAATATCACACTCACCGGCTCAAAAAAAAAAAAAGAAAAAAAATTTATGCACGTAATTATTTTGTGCTTTTATTGAATATTTTCAAAATAATTGATTGTGTTTTGTTGTATGATAGTTGAATATTTGTCAAAATGAATTAATACCCTCACTTAATCATGTGTTTGTCGACAAGTGTGAGATTTGGTTAAAAATATTTAAACTACTTAACAGTTTGGGTTAATAGTTTAAATTGATAGTTTATGGGATAAAGTGATACAAGTGATAATCTAAGGGGGGCAAAATGAAGTTTTTCCTATTTATAATGCATCTATCTTTATTTATATTTATGCATTCAAAATTGAAGAAAAATACTAATTTTGGTGGATATAACATGAACTGGTTTACTTGTTATTGAGGCCTTCTGGATAAGTTACTTTCACAAATTGTACTCCACTTCATGTCAAAAATCAACAAACATATCAATGAGTGATTTCATTAGAGGATAAACATACAAATGCACATATTAGGCATATATTCTTTCTAGCATGATAAAAGATATTATGCCAAAAGCAAAAATCAGTGGATTCCTAGACAAACTAACATGGGTTCTCTACATTTGCATGATGCATACATACATTTGTTTAAAAAAAATGTTATGAACTCACTCTTATCAACCCATAATTTACTCTGAATATATATTAATGTGATAGAGATTAAATGGATGAAGTGTTATGGTTGATAAGTAAAATGAATTTAAAACAATGATTCATTTTTTTTGGATAAATTATGGATTTGTAGTGTTGTATTTAAAATTTCAATACAATTTTTTTTTTTCATATTTTTCAATACATTTTTATTCATATTTTCAAGGGCTGTTTTTAGCATTTTTTTAAATGAGATTTTTGGCATTCATTTGTTTAAGAAAATAAAAGAGAAGTTGATTCGTAATGAATCATATTGCAACCATATTGTTATGAATTTAGACATTTTTCTACGTACTTTTCTATTTGTTTTATCTTCAATTGAATAACAAATATAATGTGCAGGCTACACCGAATGTTCTGTTAGAACTTTAATTCTATGTTTTAATTTTGAAATTGTCAAGAAAAAAAAAGAAGAGATATATAAATAATAATTATTTGTACGTATTTATTTTTATTTCTGCATAACCCAAAAAAAAAACAAAAAAGAATTTTAAGATAAATATCCAATTATTTTCCTCTCACTTTTCTATTTAAAAGTCTAACCAAACAAAGTAAGTATTTTAGATTAATTCTCTTATATCTTTCTCTTTTACTTTTTTTTTCCTTAACAAATTCAACAATCAAACAAAAGGAAATAGTTCAATATTGACAAATATCCATACATGATATCATCATTCAATAACAAATCACTGCATAAGATGTTAAATTTCACTATTCAATTCAATAGGATGATTCACTATACCAATATTAAGGGGTTGTTTGGGGTGTCCTAAATAAATGTACTTTTTGTCTTTTTAGACTAAAAAATTGAAGAAAAAAATATAGATGGGTTAACTTTTTGACTTTTTATAGAAAAATGTGTATTAAAAAATTGTAAGAATTGATTTATAGGGAAAAATTAGAATTGAAAATTATGCAATCGTAATTATTGACTTTTGATGAATAATATTAACTTTTTACTTTTAGAATAATTTTTTAACTTTTCGCTTTTTTCTTATCTTTCCAAAGTATACATGAGTTCTACCATACTTATTAATTTTGGATCTCTTGTTTAGTCTACTATCATCAACTTCTTTTCACAGAGAGAGAGAGAGAGAGGCGCTAATTAAGTAAGGCAAATGCAAAATCCTCTTCTCATCTTGCTCCCCATCCTTCTCCATCTCACTGTTACCATCTTCACAACCCAGCGCACGTTAGCCACCGAAGAGCCGGCATGCCGGACAAAATGCGGCCGATTAGCAATCAAGTACCCATTTGGCACCGGTTACGGCTGCGGCTCCCCCCGCTTCCACCCATACATAACATGCACACCCGGTGGCGACCACCTCCTACTCACCACCCGTGCCGGCTCTTACCCTATAACCTCCATATCCTACGCCAACTCCACCTTAACCATCACCCCACCCTCCATGTCCACTTGCACCGCCATGCACCCCTCCGCCTCACCCTTCAACTTGGGCCTTGACTGGACCAGCCCATTCCAACTCGGCCCATCAACCTTCATCCTCTTATCCTGCGCACCACCCACCTCCTCCTTAACCATAAACGGCACCCCAATCTGCGACCCCTCCTCTACCCCTTACCTCTGCGCCACCATCTACACCTGCCCGGCCGTCACCGCCCTCGGGCTGCCGCTTTTTCCGGAAACCAACACCTGTTGTGTTTACTCTCCGGCCAACCTAGACGACGATAATGAGCTGGAACTCGATGCGATGGGGTGCGCAGGGTACGCGTCGGTGGTGGAGCTAGGCGGTGTGCCGACGGACCCGGCGCAGTGGGAGTATGGGGTGGAAGTGAAGTATACAATGGGTGGGTTGGACAGTTACAATATTGACCCTAACTGTCGTGGATGTGAGATGAGTGATGGTGTGTGTGGGTATGCACCTCCGAGTAATTCGTTTTTGTGTGTTTGTAAGAATGGTTACAATACATCTACGGACTGTTACAGTTCTAACTTGGACCAAGCCATGTTTCTCAGCTCTACTTCTCACTCAACTTGTAAGTTTTCTTGTTTTTTTTCTTTCACGAGTGACTGAATACATCCCCACTGTGAGGAGAGTCTAGTGAACTATGATTAATAATATTACACATTTAAAAATTAAAAAATAATAAAAAAATCCACTTTTTAGATTTATCTTTTAAAAGGTGAGTTTAAAAACATAAATATATACTCGGATTCATTTGGCATATGAAATTCACAATACACAAAATAAGGCCAAGTTTTGTCTCTCCTCAAAAAATTATTCAAAAAATTTAAAAGTTATCATTATTTATTAAAAAAAAAAATTAAAAAATTAATTTTCCACGTTATCATAACTTAGCAATCATGTTAACACTGCACTGTGCAGCGTTTGTTAACTTTTGTAGCACAATTTGGGAGCAATTTCCATACATTATAGTTCGGCCTGTAGGAGTCAATCACGGGTCTCTTTTAGATAATCTGAACCGTTTAATATGTAAAAATCGTCGAGTACTATATGTTTGTAAAAAATCACATTGACCAGATATCGATAACTACATGATCAAATCAGTTTTGTACAAAAAATAGATGGTATTAAATTAACGATTGAAAAAAAAACAAATCTAATCAGATAGTTATCGATATCCGATCAATGTGATTTTTTGCATACATATCGTACTCGACGAGTTATACACATTGAACGGTTCAGATTATCAAAATGGGACCGGTGATGGCTCCCACGGGCCGAACAAAACCGTTCAATGCAATGTCCGAAAGGTAGCTAATAATTTCTTACCATCAATTCAACCCCTCAGACTACACACTTCTTTATACAATTTTTTAATACATATTTTTCTATAAAAAGTCAAAAAATTAAACCAAATATCTATATTTTTTTCCTCAACTTTTTAAACCAAAAAAACAAAAAGTACACTTATTTAAGACACCCCAAACAATCCCTAAATCTCAGCCACACTTCCCTTTTCATAGTATTTTTCTTGGTAAAAAAATCTGGGTGTTATTAGAATTTTCCGAACTTTGATTCTATGGAGCAGTTTGTACGCTATAAGAAATGGCACTTTTGGTGGTGTTTGTGTGAGAGAGGGAGGGCAAAAGAGAACCCAGCACTCTAAACAGATTGATAAAAAATAATAATAATAATAAAATAATGGCAAAATCCTGGGCGCCAATCTGAAAATTTTCCCACTAAAATTTAAAACATCATTTGGTCACTGAATAAAAAAAATTTGATATAGTGCATAATTAGTACTAAGCTATTTGCCGACTGAATTTATGTTTTAGTCGGAAAATATAAGTATATGACGATTAAATTATTTAGTAGTCAAAACATGAATTAATGCTGACCAAATAAAATGTTAGTCACTAAAAGTGTAATTTGTTGTATATGCTAGTTATTTGACTACTAAGGTCCCGTTTGGGGACTTACTTTTTTAGTCAATTAGCCAAAAAGTTACTAAATTAGCCAAAAAGCCAACAATTCATACCAAAAAGCAGTGACTAAATTTTTTTTGGTCACCGAAAATGCATATTTGTGGACCAATTTACATAGTTGCCAAAGAGTTAAAGTAAAACTATGCTAGTTATTTGGCTACTAAATTTATTTTAGTCAGCAAAAATTAGTATTCCGCGACTAAAATGAACTTTAGTAGCCTAAAACCTGAACTAGCGCCGATAAATAATTTTTTAGTCGCCTATTGTGGCACTTTTGGGGACTAAATTTTTGTTTAGTCGCCAATAATTAATATACAAGTATTAAAAAAAATTAGTAGCTAAACCTTGCAATAAATGCTAACTAATGTACTTTTTAGTCGTCTATTGTACAACTTTTGGCGACTAAATTCTTTCTAGTCGCCAAATTTGATCGCCAAAAGTGTAAATTGTTATAGTGGTAATTACATAGCATTTCTGTATCATTAAACTATGTGCAACAGCCTTGTTGTGACGGGTCATGCCCGACCTATTTCGATGGTATGAGTCGTTTATATGATAAAATTTGTCAAAAATACTATTCAAAAGGGTAAATTGCAAATACACCCCATGAGATTTGATTGAAATACAAATCGCCCCCTATAGTTCTAAAAATTACATTCCACCCTATGAGATTTCTAATTTCATAACAAATCGCCTCTTTTATTAATAAATCATCAAATCAATTAATAGTTTTTAATGATGTTAGAAATATGTTTTAATTAATAATTTAGGTAATTTTATTATTGTATAGGAGAGCAATTATGAATTTTATTTTTATAATTAATTCTGTTAAATAAATTTTTTCAACAAGGGAGTGTTTGTAATTTTTCAAATCACATGGGGCAATCTATATTTAAAACAAATCTTAGGGGGTGTATTTGTAATTTACCCTTTTTTAAAAACAAATATCGTTTTGTTATGAGATTATAAATGTTCAATTAATTTGATTTTTTTTAGAGATGATCTATTAGATAAAACTTATAATATGAATGATTCAAATTATCAAAAGAGCATTGCCATTCAAGTTTAAAAGTTAAATCCGTTTTCCAAACCTAATGATGCAGCAATCAATTAGAATATTTAGGTGTCGTTTGGGAAGAGCTCATTTGGGCTCTTTGAGCCACAAGAGACAGAACAGGCTATTTGAGTCACAACAAACAAAACATCACATCCAACCCATTATCATTACACTCTTCTCTCACAAAAAAAGTCAAAAAAGCCAAAAAGCCCTTCTCGAACCAAGCTTTTGAGTCCAGGCTCAAATAGCCAAAAAAGTCAAAAAGCCAACCCACTTCCCAAACGGAGGCTTAAGACAATTATCTCTTATATCTTCTCTAATCATGTTTCTTATATATTATTGGGTCTAGAAAATAAACTTGTACTATATCATTTTCCTTATTAAAATAGACCCTGACAAGGGCCAGCCCTCTTCCGGTCGAAACAGCTATGGTTCGAAACAGCTATGGTTTTGTTTTAAGTAGCTATATATATTGAATTTGAATTTGTGAATTTGTTGGTTTTGCAGGGAAAGTTGGTCTGGGGCTTTTGGCTAGTATGATCTTCTGGACAGCAGCTTGAGAGACACAGTTTTTTATTATTACGATTTATTTGCGTTAAACCTTTAAAATCTGTATTTGGTATGGCGAAAAATGTGAAGAACGAGAATTTTTATCAGATGAAATAAAAGTGGGAAAAGAGCATCTTGCTTTGCCGCATGAGAATGACCAACATGGAATTGAATGGCTATTATGCTAAAGTGACAATTATCCCAAACCCCCTTTCCATCCCACCCTAGATACCTTAGCTACTTCCATCTATTTCTTAAATTCGGTGATGTTTTGCTCAAAACGACCTCGTTATGCACAAATTGAGCAAAACATCGAAAAACATAAAAAATAAAAAACACCACCATTGACCCTTCCTCTCCCTCTCCCTCTCCCTCTCCTCCCTCCCCCCACTTCTGCCGCTCCAGTTGCCACCAACACCACCTCCCGATCCGGCAACCCCCACAGCCCTCCCCGCGCTCCGCAGCCACACCCAGCAACCCCAGACCTGTCGCATCTCAACCCTCCATCACAACCTTGCAACCCTCCATCAACTTCATGGATAAAATTGATGAAACTGAAACTTGTGGGGCCAAAATAACAAGAAACGTATATTGTAGCAATCATTTTTTTTTTGTCCTTCACTTATAAATCCAGAAACCAACTGGATACTACTTGACCTACTAGGCTGGTATCATCAAGCATAATTTTCAAGTAGCACAATTACATTTAGCATACACAGATTCAAGATTCCCCTTTTGCAGTTATCTCCTGTCATAACTATACCCATATCATAATATCAGTAAACAGAGGCATATGTGTTTTCACCCGAGTTTGAATATAAATAGCAAATTAGAAAGTGTGATTACTAAACACGCTTCCAAAAAAATGTGTTCAGCAACCACGTTTTCACGTAATTTAGAACATTAGTTCAATAACCCTCTACTTCTTAAATATGTTTAAAAAAACATAAAATAGTTAAAGAGCCTCCGCAATAGTCATCAAACCTAAATTCAAGTTCGTAATTTACCATGCTTGCACAGATCCAATGAGACTCATTTTATATGCACGTTATTGCATAAAATACATATCTTTTTAAAAATCTATAATGAAAACTTTCGAACCTCCAAATCACTTGTCTTGTCCGAAACACTAGGTATATAACCCACATAAGGATGGTTAGAACAGCTCCTGATTTGAATTCCTTTTTTTCCTTAATCATCTTTAGTCTGTCTTGCCGTTGTTGCCATTTCGAGTTTAGGAGGAAGAGGATCGACAAGGAATGACTTCAAATGTTTGAACATCTCTTTCGACTTCTCTACATTGATTGCATGACCTGCATTCTCTATAGTCACTAGTTGTGCATTCTCACCCAGATGCCTGAAAAAATAAACAGAACATGATTCAATGAAAATGAATCAAGCCTTAGACTTTAAAGCAATTCAAAACATTAGAAAATGCAAAAGCCCCACTTGGTTGCCAAGAAGACAAATGATATTAAAACTCGAGAAATCTTGCAAATAAAAAAGGTTACAAGTTGTCATTTTCTTTTCCTCCGACCTCTTGGAAACCAGAGAGGGCCAAAATACAAAACCTTACATCTAAAAAATGTTACTAAAATTAGAAAATTCTTCGTATTGACCTTTTTAATCTGTGCGCCAACTCCAGTGGGAATATCTGATCTTGATCTCCCCAGACTATTAACGTGGGCTACATCATGGAGATTTTATGCCATTGGTGAGCCAATCAAACTAGTAACTGAGAAACAAAGCAGGAGCTAAATAATATGGTGACAGACAAAATAAAAGATATAAAAACCTGAGTTATCTTGGGAAGATTAGAGAGTTTTCTATCCTTGTGCAATGCTTGGATCAATTCTTTTCTTTCTTGAAGGTATTCTGTACACATCACCTGCCCACACAGACAAATTCACAAAAGCAATTTCAGGCAAAACAATATAGGGTAAATCCCACTTCCTGGAATCTTAACTTGTGACAATAAGATATCAACAAATTCATAAATTTAAGACTAGCAACATTACTATGTGTTACAGAGTACAGACTACAAACATACTAGTTAGGCAAGCCCTAAAAATTACTCATCAAACATTACAAAAAGGAAATCCTTTATGAAATGTGGCTAAAAACCCAGTCTTGGCATTTAGCAGTAAGACTAAGCACGAAGATTGTCCCAGCAATCAAACCTCATTACTTTCAAAGTTCGCAAATAGTAGCAATTTGTGACAGGATTTAAATTTTTGGCATTGTATTTTAAAAGAGTATTCTTATGCTGGCTTGCTTGACTATAATGACCACATTCTAGAGAGTGGACACTAGAGTAGAACCTCTAACCACAAAACCCAAAATGATTTGACTTAAACCACTTTTGTGCTTAACATGCCGAGCACAACCAGCTCAAGAATTAATTGAAATAAAACTAAATGGGTGTAGCTGATCATAGTATGGCCCAAAACTTTCTTGCACCCTGGGATTCAACTGGATTGTACAAACTTCATCCTCTTTCCCCTGTCATTCGGATTAAATCAATTTCTACAAAACTATATGTACGATTCTCCAACTCCTTAAAATCATTAATTCAGCACTGTTGACATCAATGATTAGCATTTTTAATCAAGAAATTGAAAATTTTACCATGAGCAATGAAAGCACGTGGTAACTTTTTTTTAATGGATAATATACACAAAATATCATACAAAATGTACATTTGAATTATCAAAACGAGACACGTGGTGTGCCCCACGGCCCCTCAAGTTCATTCAAATTTAAATTTGAACTTGAGTAAAACCCAACCACTCAATCTTGAGATATGATCCTATGGCTGGGAAATGCATTGGAAAAGTGAAATTTGGGAATAGACAATCCTGTGCCATTTTTGAAAGGGCCAAAACTAACTATTTTCACACAATCCTAGCACCCAACTAATGAATTATTTATAAGCAGCCATTCAAAAATACACAATCTAATAGTAGCAACAACAACAACAATGAGTCAAAATGGCAATCAGAGAAATTATAAAGGCATTGTGAGTTTTGAAATTTTGAAAAGACTCACTCACATCAATGAAATCAGTGAGGAAGCAAGACGGCAAGAACTTGGCGGGTCTATAGAACGACAACCTGACCAACTCCCTCAACTTCTCCGGCGTCTGCGGCAGCAATATAGCAGTGGCCTCATCCACACTCCTCACCGTAAACAAACCCTCATCCACATCCATCTCCTCCATACACACCCCCGCCGCCACAATCACCACCCGCTCCACCGCGTCGGGGAACTGCGCCGCCAAGCTATAGGCAACAAAACCGCCGTAGCTCAGCCCCACCACATGGATCCGGCGCCGCACGCCGTGAGCCTCCATGGCCCTCATCACGCACTGGGCCTGGAAGGACTCGGTGCGATCGGGTCGGGAGGTGTAGGAATCGCCGAAGAAGACCAAATCGGGAACGTAGACGTTGAATTTGGAGCAGAGAGGGGAGATGAATTCGTTCCATTGCCACATTGCGTTGGCGCCGATGCCGTGGATGAGGAGGAGGGTGGGTTTGTTTGGTTTGTGGGATTTGGGGTGCCAGAAATGTATGAGGGTGCCGTCGCCGAGATCGGTGGTGGTGGATTGGAGACCGGCGTTGCCGAAGGAGTACCTGTACAACCAATCTTGCAAGGTCGTCAGGCTAATACACTTGACCATGATGGGTACCGTATAGCAGAGAGAGAGAGAGAGAGAGAGCGAGAGAGAGTTTGGAATCCGATGATCTAGTACTAGTAGAAATTAGTGAAACAACAATTAATATTTTATAATGGACAATCACTGGACCCAACTAGCAGAGATTATAATCAAGTCGGAGAGAGAGAGAGCGAGCAGGTAGACATGGCCACGTTTCTCTCGTGTATTAGGATGTCGTAATCCTTATTATTATCGTGAGAATTCCGGTCCCTTAATCAGATTGAAGGTTCCGACGGAAAAATGCACAATGCACACCGGTGATGCCATTGGGGTAGCGTGTAATTTTGGCCCGTGGGCCACGGGCGGTTCGAGGTGGGCTCGGTCTGTTAAGGTCCAGATCCAAGTTTAGTTTGAGACTTTGGATTAAAGTTTGGGCCATCGTTTTGAAGTTCAACTCGGCTCATCGGCCGACCCGATTGGTTTGGCGCATGGTCCAACTCATCGGCCAACTCAAGGCCTGTCCAAAAGTCCGGCCCGCTCGAGGCTCAGTGTTATTTTTAATAGAAAATAATAAAATTTTGATAGAAAAAATTTTTAAAAAAATTAAAAATTGTTTAGGCCCGCCTAAGCCCGCTCAAAGCTCGAGCCCAGACCCAAAACACGAATATCCCTGAGCTTTGGCCTAATTTTCTGGCCCATGGGTCGACCCGGCCCGACCCAATTTTTGGCGGGAACCAGCAAGGCCTGACATGGGCCGGGCCAAAATTACACCCCTACATTGGGGTTGTGGGTATCTCGAATTTATTTTCAGTTGTGTTTGTTTTGGTAGACAATAAATTTAATTTTTTTTATTTATAAAATATGTTTTTTTATTTATATTAATTATGTTCTTGAAACTAACACGAGGCCTCTTTTGGAAATGACTTATAAGTTAATTTATTGACTTTTTTATTTATTTGAATTACATTATCGCTCTATTTTTTACACGTCTTTTTATAATAAATAAAAAATTAATTTTATTTAGAATTTCGTAAAACAACTCTTAATAATTGCATTAATAATGGTGATGGTGATGGTGACGGCAAAAGTAGTTGCGTGATGGTGGTTGCGATAAAGTGGAGGTGGAAGTGGAGGTGGAGGTGGAGGTGGAGGTGATGGCGATAATGATGGTCAGAGCCGTGTTGGTGGTGGAGGAAGTAATAATGTAATCAAATTAGTAAAATTTTAGTTTGAAAAATATTTTTCGCTTTTTAAAAGTAGAATATATTATTTGTTTAAATAAATTTGTTTTCCATTGATTTTTATTTGGGTAAATTACAAATATACTTCTTGAAGTTTGTTCAAAATATAGATTGTCTCCTGTGATTTGAAAAATTACAAATACTCTCTTGTTAAAAAATTTTATTAAACAAAATTAACTAAAAAAATAAATTTATAATTGCTTTTCTATTCAATAATAAAATTATTTAAATTACTAATTAAAACATATTTCTAATATCATTAATAATTGTTAATTGACTCGATAATTTATTAATAAACGAGACATTTTGTTATCAAATGAGAAACCTCAAAGGATGGAATGTAATTTTCAAAATTACTGGAGATAATTTGTATTTTAAACAAATCTCAAGAAGTGTATTTGTAATTTATTTTTTTATTTTCTATTATACCAAATGTCATTTTCTTGTTCAAACAAACAGAGAATTAGTTGTTTGGTTTGAGTTTTTTGAATTAAATTTTTTGAAAATTGAGTTTTTTAGTTTTCGTGTTTTTTTGTTTTCAGTGAATATTTTTGAAATTTTAAACATTTTTTTTACTTTTTTAGATGCACCTTACTTAGATGTATTTAAAAAGAAAAAAATTTGTGAAAAAATATTTTTAAAAATTAATAGATACATAAAAATATAAAAAATATACTGAATTCTTGTATATTTTTTTGCATTTTTGGAATTTAGTAAATTTTTAAAAGGTTTTTTTCAAATTTTTTTACTTTTTAGGTATATTTATGTTAGGTATGTCCAAAAATTAAAAAAATTGCTCAAAATATTAAAAAAAATTAGTAAAAACAAAAAAACACGAAAAATAAGAAAGTAGAATTTTCTGAAAAGTGTTTTTAAAAAATGATAACCAAGCATCATAATTTTTTTTTTTAAATGTTAAAAATGAATATGCAGATGAATTATTCTAAGTATTTGTTAAGAAAATATTATCTTTCAAACCCCCGTAATAATGTTTAATACCTACCAAACGACTATAAAGATTTGAACCCAAACATTTAGGTGCCGTTTGGTAACACTTACGTTTTCAGTTTTCAGTTTATATTTATAAAAATTTAAAAAACTCAAATAAAAATTTGTTTGGTAAATTTTTGATTTATAAATCAATGGTCTCAGTTTATAAATTTGGCCAAAAAATGTAAACTCAAAAAATGTGTTTCCGTTTTGAGTTTTGAGTTTTTTTTTTTACCACCCAACACTAGCCACCACCCGCCACCATTTTTCACCACCGTCTTCCGCCACCGCCACCCACCCACCACCACCACTTGCCACCCACCACCCGCTACCACCACCTACTTACCACCCACTCGCCACCACCACCCAACCTCTGCCATCCACCACCCACTCGCCGCCATCACCAACCACCCACCTACCAGCCACCCGCCTCACCAACCACCACCCATTTGCCACCACCACCCATCGCCAATCACCACTCACCACCCATCTGTCACCCACCACCAATCACTACTCACCACCCATTTGCCACCCACCACCACCCATCTGCCACCCATCTCTTGCTCCTGAACTTTATTTAATAACAACATATTTATTTATGAAAGTTTCTAAGAAGTCAGTAAATCACAGAAATGATGGTTGGGCGAAGTTATGTAGTAACGGTATCATAATGACTGAAATTAGTAAAATAATTACACATTTACAACCAGTAGTCAGTACGATATTCACTTGCCTTGTTCACATCCCTTTTCTATTGATGGTGAACATGATTTTGCCACATAGCAGTAGCAATTGTGTAACGCCCCGACCCTTTACATGTCATCGATATTGTCCGCTTTGGGTCACGCCCGCACGGATTTGTTCTTCCCAGTGGGTCACCCATCCTAGAACTACTCCAGCCTAAGCACGCTTAACTGGGGAGTTCTAATAGGGATTTCACCACTTGGGAAAAGGCCTCGATGCTATATAAGGGTCCAGGTTTTTACTTTTATAGCCCAGGAACTCCCCCTCCATTCCCGATGTGGGACACCGGGGCCTTACAATCCACCCCCCATAAGGCTGCACGTCCCCGTGCAGTAGCCTGCCAGCTCGCAAGCCCGCCTACATGCACCGAGAGACGCCAGGGGCCCACACAGATGAATGAATGCAAACATGCTATCATACTGTATGCTAATTGAAACATGCCCTAATCTAACCATCATAAGCAGGTAAATAAAATGGAAGAAAGACGTGGGGTTGGAAGACATACAACACACACATGCACACTTATTACAGTTATGCCCTCGCGCGGAGGGTCCGAATGAATAGTACAGTCCAGAATAACTACAGTCCAAATAATACAAATTCCTAATTAATTTACAAATTAACTAAGAAAAAAGATAAACTGGCATGCAAGCCAGGGACTGCCTTGACTCTTCTTCGGATGATGGATGATACATGTCTGGGCTGCCTTGCGCGGAAATCCACTGGGATGCCCCAATTAGCCTCTGTTTTACAATTATTCTTGGAAAGCGCGCCAAGCTCCGGAAGGTTGCTAATTCTTGATTTGCTGCAACAGAGAGCAGGAAAGGGGCATAGCAATGTATTTTCACAAATGTATGCATGCCTCGATCCTCGTGCCACCAATCACGCATCTTGATGCATGATGGCCGAGGGGTCGAATTGTGCAACTCAATATAGAATGAATGCACACATAAACACAACAAGACCTAAACTCCATCATGGATAATCCGGAGTGTCGGTGACAGGGAATTGAGACACGTTCCGTCACTCGGAGTACGAAACGTACCTCGTTTCCCGTGCTCGGGCTAACTCCTATCCCAAGCACAATGCAATATGCATGAATGCAACTAATATAAAACCTAGCATACACAATGCTATGAAATAGCATACACGATGCACGAGGTAACATGGCATACACAATGCGCTAACATACATCCTAGCATACACAATGTTATGAAATAAAATGGCATACACAATGCACAATGGACTTACACCAACATGAGTGGACCGCAGCCACACTCACATAAGAGGCCATGAGATGAAAATAAGACAACTCGGAAAGCGTGCACACATGCACGCAAACCGAGGACCGATCCTAAGGCACAAAATGCCACTCTAACGAGACATGGCAAGGCATGGAATATGATATGCAAACATGCAAATTTCAGCGCTAAAATATGACCCAAAACAGTCCCGAATCATAGGAATATGGCACCCGATGCATGAAAATGGTCCCGAAATGCAAGATTAAGCACATGAAATGACTTGTAGCTACATCAAGCATGCATTATTTGATCATGACATGTAAATAAATATTCAAGGCAGCCCCAAAAAAAGCATGTTCACAGTTCTAAGCGGGGCCAAACAGCAAACAAAAATAGGGCAAAACTAGCATGCAAAAATAGCCCTAAATGTGAGATAAAGAAGTGAGTCACAGCTGCAGACCTCAAACAGGTAAGAGCCCTTCAACAATGTTGAAGAGGGGCCCAAAATATGATATTTTACAGTTTACAACAAACCCCAAAAACCAACACAGGTATGGCTAAGCTCTCATGCAAGAAATGGGCCAAAAGAGGGTCAAAGAAGCAAGTTGTGGTTTCTGGCCTCAAACACAAAGGGACCCTTCAACAATGTTGAAGAGGGGCCCAAAATGTAGCACTTTACAGTTGATGGACAGACCCAAAACAGTATGCATGCAAGCCTAAGATACTACACAAAATAAGGCCCAAAAGAGAGGTATAACACAAAGTATATAAAGGATGCCTCAAACAATAAAAGACCCTTAATGAAACATTAAGAGGGAGTCAAAATAAGGTCAATTGTAGTTCGGACCACAGCCCAAAAATAGAAGCAAAAGAGGCTAACAAATCATGCAAAAATATGGCCAAAAGAGAGATATAATGGCAAGTAGCAAATGGAAGCCTCAAACAGCAATGATCCCTTCAAAAATGTT